ATAATAGTATGTTATGCATCGATAGCAGCAACAGCTTTTCCAGGTTCTGCAGTCATCTGAACAAAATTATAGACATTCAGCACATTCCATTAAAAAAAAAACAAAACAAAGAAAAGAATAATATCCAGAAAACAGCAAAGTTCCTAGGTTTTTGAGTTTGGACTTTAAATATTCAAGCTTTCTATTTGTACTAACCTGAGTTATAGCTGAGAAAGACTTTACCTGGAATGCTTAAATGGAAGTGGAATCTAATCTTAACCCAGAAATGACTGAAAACTGGCAGCCTGCCCAGGCCCAGAGAGGTTTTGGGAATCTGCCAACACTGAGGACTTTGCAGTTTCTTATGATTATGTTTTAATTCTCAGTTTCTCTGCTTTTCTTTCAAAGAAAGATGGGAGAAAAAATAATTCCTGTGTTGACTTGAAGAGATAAAGATACTCCTATGAAGGATTAAAACAAGCTAGTTGTTTCCTGAAACCCTTACTAATTCTTGCTTTTCAATCAAGCTATTTCTCCTCTTTTATAGGTAGGAAGAGAATCAGTGGCTAAGTACATAAATGGATAATTCTGGCTGGACCAATTTCATTTTTCTTCCTTTCTCAGTTTCCTCAACATCTCTATTGTGTTCAGTCTAAAAAGTCATCAGATTGTAGTTTTTATCATTGTATTCCACTCTGTAGATAACCTGATAACTCTTTCCTATACTCCCAGTCAGAAACCCATTCTAATACTATCATAATACAACCCATCTCTTAAGCTGGTCAGGTTTCCACGGTGCAGAAATAATATGCATACTGTGGCATCTTCTGGGCTTTAAAAACTTGCTTTTCAAGCTGGGCATGGTGGCACACGCCTGAAATCTCAGCACTGAGAAGGCTGAGGCAGAAGGATTGCTGCAAGTTCCAGGCCAGCTGGGCAACATAGAGAGTTTGAGGCCAGCCTGAACTACATGGTGAAACCCTGTCACAAAAAAAAAGAGAGAGAGAAACAAACCCTTCTTTTCCTTCTTGTGAAGTGGACAATGAAGTAAGAAAGTTCTAAATAGTAGCATCTTGCCCTTGCTTCAGATTCCTAGCAACTGGAAGGTACCCTGGATTGGTGGCTCTAATATTACCTGTTATTCATTTAAGATATCATAACAGTATTTCTTCACAAACTGAACATAACAGGCTCTAAACGTTATTTAACCCTCGAGAGAAGTAAAAATGAGGTGGCAAGGAAAAAAAAAAGTCTAAAATCAAATCTAATCAAATGGAGATGTGATGGAACATATACTACAGAGTTTTTCTAAGGGACTGCCTGAAAAACAAGTGTGTGGCTTTATCTCCTCACCCTTCTACCTTGTCCATGGACTACCAGCCAATAACTTTAGATCCCTGATCAGAGTTTCCTAATTCCAGGAGATGGCTTTCTTCTGACTTATCAGCCTAGGCTTTCATTTTCTTTGGTCTTTTAAATTTTTCATTTGCTTGGCTACTCCAAATTTTTGTTGCTTTTGTCTCCTCCATTTTTCTTTGTCCCTGTGGGCTTTTACTTTATTTTTAAATTGTGTGACTGTCATTTAGTGATGTTTCAGAAGAAAAGACAGGCAAATGCAGCTTAATTTGCTGTGCTGCCTGTGACTTTCCTTCTCTTCCTTCTCTCAACTGCAACCCCTTATCGGCAGATCTTTATTTTCATACACTGGGTATCTGTGCAGCACTAGTGCATGGCTTAAGAGGTTAACAAATCACAAAGAGACATATCCATCCAGCTGAATGGATTTGACCTGGACACCCAGACCCAGCGCTTCCCACAGGAGGTAGCTAAGACTTGCACAGAAGGTGTGAGTGCATCTGCAGATGTTCTTCATTATTTTTGGCAGCTATATGTATCACCATTTGTAGTATGCACTGCCTATTATAAAAGTTAGACACTAGAGTGCTTAAAATTTGCCTCCATTGTGAGCTGGGGATGTAGCTCAGTGGTAGAGTGCTGATGTCTCATGCAGGAGACGCCCTCTCTGTGACTTCAGCCTTCCAAACTTCCTGCGTTTTGGCTACTGTGCACATTCCTGTTTGATTCCAGGATTTATGCACTACAATAAGTTCTAAAACAGGCCTCTTATTTCTGGAGAGCAGCTCCATCCCCTTGAGGAGTTCTGCTTCAGAGGCAACAGGTCCTGTGGCTAAAAAGCTGTGTTAGGGTTCTTTCACAGACTGGCGACACAAGTCTGATTACACTCAGAGAAAGGAAGAAAAATTGATGAGCCTTTAAGGAAGTAAAAAGAACACAACCTGGAAATTTATACTACTTGGTTACAGGGGCCATGAAAAGTCAAGTCAATGAATTATGCAATTACTATTCTCATGGTAGAGCACAATCTCATACTAGATATAAATGAAAGATTCTGAGGGCCATAATGGCAGAATAGGGACATCTTGTTTTCATGTACAGTGGACCCTTGAGTTACAACTGACCTGACATGGGAACAACTTGGGCTGCACCCGGAATTTTAGTTTTAACTTACCAAGTCTTGAGTTACAACCCGAATGTTGGCTGCTCATGCTTCCAGATGGTCTCAGATAGAGTTAACCCTTACAGAGTTCTGGAAGGAACACTGCAACATCCTTTCCTGTGTGGGGTTAACTGGGAAATCCTGGGCCAATGTCTCTCTAAGGACACCAAGATCTGCCTGTGTACAGGAGAGAGACTTTGTAGGCTGTGTAGAGGAGCCTGAGCCTTTAACTAACCAACTTAACTTATAATCAGCCCTCATGAATAAATTAAGTTCATAAGTCAAGGGTTCACTGTAGCCTCTACTCAAGTAAGTGTGCTTCATAATAAACTACAGAGCTCAACTAGCTCAACTTTCTAGTCTACATTCTGGGTGCCTTTGGTCTGCTGGCAGCCCTGGGTAATCTGTGGCAGCCAGCTCTACTTCCATCCAGAATGAGCTGCTAGCTGAAATGCTGACTCTAAAATAAAGTCCTAATCTAGACTATACTATATTGTCTGGAGCATCTTTTAAAAAGGCAGATATCATTTTGGAACTGACAAGCATCTGGCCACTTATAATTAAGCCTTGGGCCTAACACTGAAATTCTAAGGTTAGTCCTTCTACAAAAGTGATTGTGGTTATTCTGGGTCCTGAGTCCCTCCTATTTTTATTCATAAATAAAACTTTGCCAGAAAGACACATTCTGTCTACCAGCCTCTAACAGCCATACTCAGCTGGGGCCACTCAATGTCCTGCATCTTATCCTTGGGGTCCAGAAGAACAAAACTATTAAACAAAGAAGAACTTGGAGGAATGAACTCCTACTTAATAGATGGTGTTCCTAAAATTAACATAAAACCTACAAGCCTAATTTTTCCAACAATTTGCTTTGTCTTCCTGGTTTTGAAACAGAAACATCCTTGACTCAGAATCTGGGTCCCAATGCCATGTACGATTCACATGAAAGCTCAAGACTAAGGACTGCTGGGGTTACAGTCACGTTCGGGTAGGGTGTCCACGCAGGTAGGTTGGAAATGTTTCACTGCTTCATTTTTCCACACATTTTCTGACCCTCTCTAAGGAGGCATTACCCCCAAGTTATTCTCTGTCTCTGCTTCATTGGTCATTTGTTACTTCCAAACAAATAAAGACAATATATTAAAATCCTCACATAAATCCCACAAAGTAGATATTATCATTGCCTCCATTTTAGGTATAAAAATGCAGAAATGAAAACACATTCAAGGTAAGGCAAGATCGAGGGTCCAAATTCAGGCAGTCTGGCTAATGACTGTGCGTCAGCGCACGACACCATGCTCTCCTGGAAGCATCCTAACAAGGCTGTAGGTAGGTGCCCTTACCTGGTGCGGGTCCTGAGTTTCCACTGAATAAGGCTGTATCATCAGGTCATTGACTTATTCATTCTCTAAGAAGCCTTACAGCTGGCTTCTTTGCTTCCTGCTAAGTTTATTTCCCAAACCTTCTCAATGACAAAAATCACCTGGAATATTTGTAAAAACGGGAAGCCTCTAAAGATTCTATCCTTAGAGAGTTTGATTCATTGGATCTGACATGGTCCCAGAAATGTGTATTTTTAACAAGTGTCCTGGAAGATTCTTCTCATCAGTCAGGTTTGAGAAATATTACTCTAAGAGTTTTTGCCAATGGGAACAAACATCACTGGCCTTAAGTATTATACATTGAGTCAGATTATTATTAAGCAGATGACATTTCTATGGTTGACTTAATCCAAGGCTATTAGTACATATGGTACAAAGTGTTTTTTTTTCCAGAAAGGATGGCCAGCTGGGTTGGGATGTCTTTGTGGTGTTTTTTCTTTTTGAGTGATGACCGTTTAAATTCTTTAATGGTTCTGCCTGTAAGGGATTTTCTGCATTGCTCTCGTCATAGAACAGTTTACATCAAAATACGAAGGATTCTATCTTTTAAGTCCTGCCTAAGAGAACTTTGGAGAAAATTAAATAAAAAGGAAAAGGAGCACAGAGTTCTTCTTCCGAAAGGCCCTAAAGGAAACTCTTTGTACAACCAAGAAAGAAAAATCTATGCTTTTCAAAAAACTTAAATGCATATGAATCATACATGGGAAGACTTAAGAGGATATTTTATAAGGGATGAATTCGATGTACACAATCTAATCAGAAGCAGAAACAATCTCTGACACTCAAATCAAATACAAAATTGCTGAAATTCACATTATTAAAATATTGTCTAATGTTAATCAAAGATCTCAAACATGCCTAGTGTGCTTGACACCGTATTTGCTGCTCATCACAATGAAGCTTCTGCCTGAGGACACTACTCAGCCAACTTTAACTGCTGTATGTACACATCAGTCAGGGGAAAAAGCAGAAAACAGTATTATAAGACAGCCAAAGTAGGAAAGAATGCCAGCCCTTACTGCTCCTCAGAATTCTCTGCTTTTGGGCTTTATTTCTGGAGGGACCACAGCAAATCAGTGGCTGAGGCCTGTCCCCAGCTCTGAGGCACCAGACATACATACCTCTTGGTGGGAGTGGGTACTCCAGAGGACATGTGGCTAGCCATGGTGTCATTCAGATTAGTCAGAGGGCGAGGAGGACTGAAAGAAAAGACATTTATACAGTATTAATAACTACCAGCATCACTAGAGGAAACAAGTAAATGACAAGGGCAAAAGGGACTATCGTTTCTGTTGAGCACAGTGAGACCCAAGGGGAGTAGGCAATAAAAAATAGATACTTCAAGACTAAGTAAATCCAAGAAGGGCTTTTTCTCATAAGGCCAAGCTGTGGGGCCAGGGGAAGCAACAAATTATAAAGACAGTTCTCTGGGATGGAACCTCAGTGACTTCTGTGGTTTATGACAAAAGAATATAAAATTTCCTACTTAATTTTAAACATTAAAGATCAAAAAAGCTCATCAGATGATTGTGCAAATTTTACAGTTTTGTAAGTCTCTATAACTTGTACCATTAATGTTCACCTCTCACCTGGAAGTATTTCAACTACATCTTCAATAAACTTTTTTTTTTTCCTTTTCTTTCCCCTTCAAAGTTAATTTCTTTATATTTTAGGTATAAGATTACTGAGTGTCTGGCATATGTTGTATACCACAAAGGTCACAACCTTGAGGTGTATGGTTTTCCTGAGATTTGCCTAGAGCTCATTTTTCTCTCTCACATTAGGTTTGCAAGCTTTTTACCCAAATAAGTTGCTAAACACTAAATTTGAAAATTAAGCCTCTGGAGCAAACTTTTATTGCTCTTTTATAAGAATCTTAACAATAAATCCAAATTTTATAACAACCAAATTAGGATGCTCTCTTTTGTAACCTAATCCATATTTAAATTTGAAGGTAAACATTTTAGGTAACACTGGCAGTAGATTTTCTTCACTCAAAGCCAATTTTGCATTCTGAGAGTCCTGAGCAAATAAATTCGAAGTTATCAAAAGTAGTGTACTATCTTGGCTTCCCATTCTTTTTTTTTTTTTTTTTTTTTTTTGGTACTGTGGTACCGGGGATTGAACTCGGGTCTTTGTGCTTGCAAGGCAGGCCACCAAACCGCTGAGCTAAATCCCTGGCCCATTGGCTTCCCATTCTTGAATTGCTCTCCCTCTCTATCCTTCAACTGCTCTCCTTTCTTACAAGGGTCAGCTACAAAAGTTTTCTGTCTTATATTTGGAGCCACAAGACTATTTACCAAATACGCCCCTGGGAAATCTCCAATTTCCTCTCCTAAACTCTAAGTACTTCTCAAAGAGACTGGTCTACTACGTACAAGAAAGTGAAGGAGAAAAGACCTCTCTTTACTTAGCTGCTTCATTCTCTTTACATTGGAAGGCAGAGTTAACTGTGTAGAATATTTTAGTAGTGGTTACACTTAGCAATGCATGGTGAATATTAAGGGATTGTCATCTTTAATTTTTCTGCAGGTTTCATAGTACATTCAAATAAAGGCTCAGAGGAAGTATTTCAGGGAGAGCCAAGGGACCTAGAGGTTAAAGACGGATCTCCCCTCCCCATGTACACCCCCCCACACCCCCAAGCCAATTTCATATATGAGTAGGGAACTTTAAAAAGTGATTTTCCATTTAATAGAGAAGATCCAAAGTAGAAAGTAATTTACATAAAACAGATTTAGAACTCTTGATTTTAAGACTTAGTTCAATGTTTACAATAGTTTCTACATTATTTTTTTGGGTGACAAATCCCTCAGTGAGACAGTAAGAACTGAAATATGCCTTCATAGGCTAAAATTCAATTCCAGTTATTTACCTATCTATCTGACAGACAGACATTCAAACTTTCAAGCCTATTAATCAACTAACCAACTGTTTTAGGATAACTAATGATGAAAAGGAACCCAGAGATTAGTGCACTTTCCCCTAAATTTCTGTTTGCCTCTAGTTCTTTTAAATCAGTTGTTCAACAAAGACAAGGAGACAGTTCCTCTGAATGTACCAAATTCAGCGTAACAGCTTTTTATACTTTAGGGCATTAGAAACATCCTAGTTAGTTCTGGAAACAGAATGGGCTTCGCTTCTTTAGCATATTATTATTAGCAACCCATTTCCAAAATAAGATAAGGATATTTTCACATTGCTTTCAGAACAAATACAACTGCCTAATTTAATATCAAAGATAATACTGCATTCAATTTCTTTTCTGACACTCTCAAGACAAAAAATAACAATAGAAAAAAATTTAAATTCCTTAAACATGTATCCCTGTGATAAAATTTTATGATCTGCATGCAGCATTGTGTTTGGTCTGATGCCATAAATCTTTTATAATCATCTCAATCTTTTGGCAGATATCATGTTCAACTATTATCTTTAGCACATGCACAGTATGATGAGAAACCTCATCATTAATATTCAAAACTAGACAGGAATGTAGTCTGTATACTCATTACAACTGCCTCCAAGTTTCATACACTTTCTGGATTTCTAAAATGTTTTGCTAGAAAGACAAGCATATATTTGCAGCCCAGCAAAAAGATGTATTCACAAACATGGTCTTTAAGAGCCAGGCAGGGTAGTACATGCCTATAATCCCAGCACTTGACAGGAGGATTGCCATGAATTCAAGGCCAGCCTGGGTTATATGACTGCAAGGCCAGCAGGAACTACAGTGAGAACCTGTCTCAAAAACAAAACGAAACAAAAAAGAAGGCCTTTAGAAGGATTTCCACCATAGCCTTAGTTCACTGGAAAAGACAATAGCACCAATACATTCTTAGAAGTAATAAACCAAAAATGACTTTGGGCTCAAAACCAAAATCTTCACTGAAAACACTGCTGAAAAGGTGAATCAAATCATAAACAGTAAAATTAGTATAATGCTCAGATGAGTTTTGTTGATCTTGAAGCATCTGAAAAACCATATGATCATCTCAATAGGTGCAAAAAAGCATTGACAAAATTCAGCATCCATTCGTCCATTCAAAAAAACTCAAGAAAAAAAGGAATAGAGTCTTTATCTTTTTGCTCCTCCCCATTACTGGGAAATGAACTCAGGACCTTGTGCTTGCCAGACAGGTGCTGCTACAAGAGTCCTTACCTTAATCTGATAAAGGCCATCTATGACAAACCAATGGCCAAGGTCACACTTAACAGTAAGAAGCTGAAACCTTTTCCTCTGAATTCAGCAACAAGACAAGGATATCTGGTATCAACACTTTTGTTCAACATAACTTATACTAGCTACAGCAACTGGACAGGAGAAAGAAATAAAAGTGATATGGTTAGGAAAAGAAGAAATTAAATTATCATTATTTGCAAATGTCCCAATCCTCTACACAGAAGACTCTAAAAATTCCACAAAACTTGGATGTGGTGGTATAAACCTGCAATCCCAGCACTTCGTAGGCTGAAGCAGGAGGATTTCTGTGAGCTCAAGGCCAGCCTCGACCACATAGTGAGTTCAAGACCAGCCTGGACTATAAAGTGAGATTTTGCCTCAAAAAAAACAAAACAAAACAAAACAAAACAAAAAACAACAAAAACTCCATCAAAAGACTTCTAGAATTAATAACCAAATTCAAAAATGTAGTAGGCTATAAAAGTCAACTCTCAAAAATCAATAGCATTCTTGACCATCAATAACAAACTCACTGAAAGAGAAATTAGGGAAGCAATACTTTCACAATAGCATCAATAAAAATGAAATACTTAGGAATTAACCCAACCAAGGAAATGAAAGACCTCTACAATGAAAACTACAGCACTCTGAAAAAGGACAGCAAAGAAGACATCAGAAAATGGATAGCTCCTATTCCTGTGTAGCAGAACCAATATAGTTAAAATAGCCACAATCCCAAAACTAATATATAGATTTAATGCAATTCCAATCAAAATACCAATAACATTTCTTACAGAACTGGAGAAAGCAATCCTAAAGTTCTATGGAACCAGAAGAGACCTAGAATATCAAAAGCAATTGTGGGCAACAAGAACAAGTCAGGGAGCATTACAATGTGAGACTTCAAGATATATTACAAAGCTAAGTGATAAAAATAGCATGGTGGCTGGGCATGATGAAGCACGCCTGTAATTCTACACTTAGGAAGTTGAGGCAGGAGTTCAAGGCCTGCCTGGACTATACAGAGAAACCCTGTCGCCCAACAACAACAACAACGAATCCTAGCATGGTATTGGCAGAAAACAGACTCATGGATCAATGGACTAGAATAGGATGGAAACAACTCCTGGTTCACTCACTTACAAATTCTTTGACAGAGGAGCCAAATCTATTGACTGGAGGAAAGAGAGCCTCTTTAACAAATGGTGCTAGGAAAACTGGCTTTTCACATGTTGAAGTCTTTTTTTTGTTGTTTGTTAAATAAGTTTTATTTGTAAATTTAGTCAACATACATAATCGACCTAAAAACTTCAATAGGATGAATTTAAAAACCATTTGGAAGGCTGGCTCTATAAAAGGGATTTTCCCCAGGACTGTAACCAGATGTGACCTAACCCAAGACCATCTTAACTGGCAGAGGTCCAATAGGCTGGAGCAATATGCTCCATCCCACAGCAAGTTCACTCTAACTCCACAAGGAAAAGTTTGATCCTTGGTATTGTTTCCTCTTAGATCAGAAAAAAACCTAATTATGAGACCAACCACAATACAATGAGAAGCTGCACTAACAAGAATATCAGTAAGAGATGATGCTGGTGTGAATAACTTGTTATTCTAGAGTCCTTACAAACAAAATTTCCCAGACAGTGTTTGCAGTATCAGCCAGAGGGTTAGTTAATGTGGCAGAATGAGGACTTAGGCAAGGTATATACATAGCATTTCACTAGTATATAGAAAACAAGTGCAGTCTAGTTAGAAAGCCAACTGGGCTCTAAATTATACACACTTAATGACAAGACTCTCCATCACTTGTGAATGTAAAACATTTAATTAAAAATGTTGACACTACAATATAACTATTATAAATGCACATAGTGTATTCTATAGCTGCCAGGTTTTCTTTTTTTTTTTTTTTTAAAGGAAACTGCAAGTTACACTGTGGTTAAGACTTGTATCTTCACCTTTGAAACAGCTCACATTCTATCACAGTGATGTATGGTGAGACTTAACAGCCCC